TGTTTAAATGGAGTAAGAATTCAGGAGATTTGGTTTAATCCTACCACAATTGGGCATATTACTTCAGGTCTCTGAGGTTTAGTTTTCTTATTTATATAAAGGGTGAATTCAGGTAAAATGGGAATAAAAATAGATAGGTGTTTGCTACCACTGCCGCCATAGGTTTCCCTGACAAATATCACTAATGAGGCATATCACTGTTTATCAATAAGCCTAGATATAGCATCAAAATCCTTTCCAAAATAGCAGGCAGATATAGATAACTTTATGTAATCTACAAAAAAAGCTAGAAATTATACCATTAGCAAACCTACAGAATACTAGATCAATACACAAAAATCAATTGTATTTTCATATTCTAGCAATGAAATATGAAAAGATGAAATTAAAGATAAAATAGGTTACCTCAGCATAACCCTACATGCTCTACATCCTAACACCTGTTTGGTGTGGTTAGTCTTTAATTTTAACCATTCTTTTTTTTTTTTATTTATTTCAGCATATTATGGGAGTACAAATGTTTAGGTTACATACATTGCCTTTGTATCACCTGAGTTAGAGCTTCAAGCATGTCCATCCCCCAAATGGTGCACACTGCACCCATTAGGTGTAAATATACCCATTCCCTCCTCTCCCCTCCCACCTGCTTGACACCTGATAAATGCTATTACTATATGTACACATAAGTGTTGATCAGTTAATACCAATTTGATGGTGAGTACATGTGGAGTTTGTTTTTCCATTCTTGTGATACTTCACTTAGTAGAATGGGTTCCAGCTCTATCTAGGATAATACAAGAGGTGCTAGATCACCATTGTTTCTTAGAGCTGAATAGAACTCCATGGTATACATATACCACATTTTATTAATCCACTCATGTACTGATGGGCACTTGGGATGTTTCTACATCTTTGTGATTATGAAATGTGCTGCTATAAACATTCAAGTACAGATGTATTTTTTATATAGAATGTCTGTTTTTCCTTTGGGTAGATGCCCAGTAATGGGATTGCTAGATCTGCTGGATCAAATGATAGTTCTACTTTTAGCTCTTTGAGGTATCTCCATATAATAATATCTTACTGTGGCTTTCATTTGTATTTCCCTAATGATTGATGAAGTTTATTATCTCTTTCTGTGCTCATCCATCCATCTTCTTCCATGACATGTCTATTCAGACCTTTTATCTATTTTTAATGAGTTTTTATATTACTGGGTTTTGAAATTTTTGTATATTCTGGATACAAGCCATTTATCAGATATATAATTATAAATGTTTTCTCCTGATATGTGGCTTGCCTTTTCATTTTCTTAAGGCTGCTTTTTTGAAGAGAAGTAATTAATTTTTTTAGAGTTTAATTTATCAATTTATTAGTTTATGTGTCATGCTTTTGGTGTCATATCTAAGAAAATTGTGCCTAATCAATGTTATAAAGATTTTTCTCTTATGTTTTCTTCTAGAAGTACTAGTTTTATGTTTTACATTTAGGTTTATGGTCTGTCTTTGCTAATTTGTGCATATCTTATGAGGCATAGAATGTCATGTTTTTGTGCATATGGTATCCAAATTTTCAAGTATCATTTGTTGAAAACATTATCTTTTTCTGTGGAACTACCATTATAACTTTATCAAACCCCAATTGACCATATATGTATGGATCTGTTTCTGGATGCTATTCTGTTGCATTGATTAAGGTATCTTACTGTTAAAATTAAACTACCTTAATTAAAGTAAAGTCTGGTAGTATAAACTCTTTAACTTTGCTCTTTTAAAGTTTTATCTATTCTATATATTTTGCATTTCCATATGAATTTTAGAATTAGCTTGTCAATTTCTACAAAGAACCTACTATGATTTTGACTGGGATTACACAGAATCTATTGGTTAAGTAGGAGAGAATTTGTAGCCTAACAATATTGAGTTTTAATATCCATGAACAATATGTCTTTGTATTTAAGTAATTTAATTTTTCAACAAATTTTTGCAGTTTTCTATACATCGTGCACATCTTTTGTTAGATTTATCCTAAGTATTTACATTTGGGGTGAAATTATCAATGGCATTTTAAAATTTCAATTTTTAATTGTTCTTTGATAGTTTATAGACATGGAAATATTTTTTACATAATGAGCTCATGTCCTATAACCTAGCTAAGTTCACTTATTTGTTCTAGTAGCCTTTTTGTAGATTAAGCCAATTTTACTTTATAGATGATCATGTCATCTGCAAAGAAAGGCAATTTTACTTCTTCCTTTCTTATATGATTATGTGTCACTTATTTTTCTTAACCAATAGTGCTGACTAGGACCTTCCATACATGCTAAATGGAAGTGTTGACAACAGCCTTCCTTTCCTTGTTTCTGACTTAAATTTTAAGTTAGTTAACTATGTCCTCACTTGCATTTTTTCCAATTAAAAATATGTCATCTACATAATGAGTGAGATGTGCACCATCTGGGGGATGGTCATGCTGGAAACTCAGACTTGTAGGGGGAGAGGGGAAGGGCATTTATTGAAACCTTAAAATCTGTACCCCCATAATATGCTGAAATAAAAAAAAATATGTCATCTATATTTCATTCTTCCTTTATATATACTGTTTATCTTTTTTGTTTTATTTTTAATTCAAAATTTTATAATTATTTTTCCATCAGAACATTGAGTTTATATACTCAAGTCTTTAGTTTGTTTTTGTTGTTGTTGTTGTTTTAATTTTAGCATATTATGGGGGTACAAGTGTTAAGGTTACTTATATTGCTCATGCCCCCCTCCACCCTCAAGTAAGAGCTTCAAGCATGTCCATTTCCCAAACGTTGCACATCTTACTCATTGTGGTTTTTCTCTGGCTGCTTTTAAGATTTTATCTTTAGCTTTAAGAAATATGATTATGATGCCCCTCGGTATAGTTATTTTCATGTTTCTTTTGCCTAGAGTTCATTGAGTTTCTTAGGTCCATAATTCATAAATTTCATCAAATTTGGGAAATTTTTAGCCATTATGCCTTAAAATATATTGTTTTACGTTTACCCATCTCTCTCTACTCCTTCAGGGACTCCAATTAAAGATAAATTAGGCTGTTTCTAGTTATCCAAATCCTAATTGCTGCTCTGTTTATTTATGTTTTTCCCATTCTTCTTTCTTTGTGTGTTTTATTGACAAATCTTCAAATTCACTATTTTTTCTGCAATGTCTAACCTGCTATTAACCTTATTCAGTGTTCTTTTTATCTCAGATATTGTAATTTTCATCACTAGACGTTTTATTTGTTTTTTAATATCTTTTTTACGACTCTGATCATGTCATGTGTCTTTTCTCTAGCTTAAGCACACATATGATGCAGTTGTTTGTTTTAATATCGCTATCTACTAATTCTATCATGTGTATCATTTCTGGTTTCATTTCCAATGATACTTCTTCTCATTATGGGTCATAATTTCCTGATTCTTTGTATTTCTAGTAATTTTTTTATTGGATGTAAGACATTGTGAGTTTTACCAGTTTATGTACTGAATGTTTTTGTATTCTTAAAAGTATTCTTGAACTTTCTTCTAGTATATGATTAAGCTACTTGGAAACAGTTTGATCTTCCTGAGCTTTACTTTTAAGCTTTGTTAGGAATAGTCAGAGTATCATGTAGCCCAGGTTTGAGTCTTCCCACTACCAAGGTGAGAATTTTGTTAGTAGTCTAATTTCTATTCCTGCCTTGTGAGACCTTGTTCCTTCTAATCTTTTCAGATGGTTATTTTTCTGAACTAGGAAAGTTTCTTTATATATGTGCTGATTTGTACTTAATTAAGTACTTGAAGAGGATTCTGTAGAGATTTCTGGAGTTCTTTTTTATAGTACTCTTCCCTCTGGCACTCTGTTCTATTGACTCTTGTCAACCTTGGCTTCCACAGACTCCTGGCTCCATCTTCTCAGCTTACTGAATACTATAGACTCTTTCTAAGTTCTCCTCCCTGCACTGAAACCTATAAGCTAAGTACAGGCATTAAGCCATGGAAATCATTGCGTTCTCCTCATTTTTATCTAATATCCCAGAAATCACTATAGTTTTTTGCCTGATATCCAGTAACTTGAAGGGCAATTTTTTACATATTATGTCCAGTTTTTAGGTTATTTGGGGTGGGAGGCAAATCCAGTTCCTGTTATTCCCTCTTGGACCAAAATGGACATTTCACACTATTGATTATTGCTGTTTCAACTGACTGCATTAACATGAAGGCTTTTATTAAGAGAAAGTATAGACATTAATAAATTGAGGAAAGAGGAGAACCTTACAGTCAGAGAGAGTAGAAAGGGCAAAGACCCTGGACTAGGAAGGAGCTTTTACATTTAAGGATTGGCAGGAAGGCTAATGTTGCTGAACCAGAGTGAATGAGGGGAGAGAATGGTGAGAGATATTTTCATGGAGGTAAGAAGGAGTTAGGTGACGCAGGGCTCTCTCAGAACTTGGGGTAGTTTTCTAATCAAAAACTGCGGTTTTTGATTCTGATCAAGTGAATGATCTGATTGTGTATATATATATTTATTTAAAACAACACCTTAAATTATATATATATATATTTAAAACAACACCTTAAATTATATTTGGAGGATTGACTCCAGGAAGCAAGAGTAGAAACAGGGAAGTGATTTGGGAATTATAATAATCCAGGTGAGAAAAGCTGGCAAATTAATATGCTAACAGTGGTGAGTAGTGGTCAGATTCACAACATATTTTAAAGCTCACAAAAATTTTTAATCTATTGGAAGTCAGGTATGACAAAAATAGAGCAAAGCAACTCCTAGGTTTTGAGCTGTAGACACAGTGCTTCATTCATTCAAATAATGTTTAAGGGATAAGCCATTTTGAAGTTAAGTAAATCAAGAGGTTAATTTTGGGCATGCTCAGTTTGAAATGACTAATAGACATCCAAGTAGAAATTCAAGTAGCTGCTTGGAAAGGATAGTCTTCTGCAAATTAATGTTATACTGTAGGTAGCAGAAAAAACTCACCTCATCCAGCAAGCTGTTTTATCATTTCCTCCTTCCTCTATTTGCCATGTCTCCTCAGAAATTTTCACTGGGATTCAGTCTCCTGCAGCAGAAAATGCTATAATTCTCCACCATACTCCTTTTTGTTATTCATTGTGTAGTTCTCAGCCCTTTTACCCTATAAGAAAAGTCCCTTTTTGTTCATATCATCTCCTTGAGAAAGAAGTTCTTTTAAGGGATTATATAGTCAGCACAATTCTTTTTCAGATAATAGAACCATACAACCATTTCCACCAAAGCCTCAAGGTCTGAAATGAGGCTTTATGATAAGAAGGAAAACTTGATTTTCTTAAGTAAATCCTTAGAATCCCAGGAACAAAGGAGAAAACAACCAGCATGTCCTCAGTGCTATGCACAAGGTTTTCCCCATGTTGTTTGGCTTTTATTCCTTTGTAATTCAGAGACTGGGTAAAAATATATTTATCTTGACAAACTGAATGAGTCAAAGGTGGTGTTCTGCCCTGTCACCTTTTTTTCCCCACTGTACTAGATAGTTTACAAGTTGGAAATAAGAGCTTAATAATTAAGGAATATAAAAGAAGATTCTAGAAAATAATAAAGTGCTGATGATAGCCTTGATGGTCAAATATTAATAAGAGCAATAATGATTACATTCCACATGCCTTTCTATCACATTCACACCAATGATCACATTCTATCACTTTAGAGTAGATCTTCTCTCTTAAACTCTCCATTATAATGTATTAAAATAACAGTGACTATGGCATACCACTTGATGAATTTAAACTGAGAAAAAGGGAGATGTTCACCCCAAAGTAGCATAACTCTAAGAACTTGCAGCTAAATTCAGATTAGAGACCATAACTCTAAGCTAAGTGTAAGTTGTTAAGGAGTTAAAAATACATGCCAAAAGATGAATTACTTTGACATGATTTGGTGTCATGATGTGGGCACCCAGATGGCCCATTAAAAATTTTCATTATTTATGTGGCCAACATTACTCAGCAGTTAGTTTGTTGTCTGAAGTGTCAGCACCCTCCTCAACTCAGGCATTATTTTCCATGATTATATTTCCCACCACATCTGCACCCACTAATCTTCTCAGCAGCTTTTCTAACCCCAATACAACCCAGGCTTGACTAGAGAGTATGAGCAGCTTCAGTTCTTTTTGTATTTCATTTCATATTTGTGATGGTTTGGGTTGGGACACTAGTTATTAAATTTCTCTGTCTGTTTGAGTCAAAAGGAGCTTATGTCTGTATTAGTCTGATTAAAGATCCATCTTCTTATTCCACAGATGGACCAAGGATGCTTTGCCGCTTCCTCTAAATGAGTGAGACTTACAAAAAGCACAGAGCTGATAAGAATCAAAGAAAAGGAACTGTAATGTAGCTTTTCATCTCCTGTAGATCCAATGGTTTGAAAGGAGTAAATCGCTCACCCAAAAGAAAGTAAAGGACTTATTATAATAGTTTCTCATGCTCTAGGAGAACAAAATGGCCTTATGTACTACTGCTAACAAAGGGACATTCTTCAGGAAACCAATACCCATGGACAAGCTGGACTGCTAAGTTTTACCCACGTGGACCTTTAGAAAATACCACAGCATCGTTGTGGGTCTAACCATTGTGGGTCTAGCCATCGTTGGTGGCCATACCCTATGTTACCTGCTCTATCTTCAGGTTTAGTTTAGGCCTGCTCCCTCTTTAATTTGCTCCATCTTCCTGCAAGTACAGAGTTGTGCTACTCTGATTCAGAGAAAGGCTCTTAGATATAGCATCTGATGGATATTGTGCTTAATTTTCAGCACTCATTACACCCTTGCCAGTGATTGTCCTATAAAGAAGGATGTTCATGTGACAACTTTGCCAATGAAGCACGAAGGGATGTCACTGGGGTGGAGATTAGTCTGGAAAAAGTATCCTCACCTCCCAGAGAGATGCAGAAAGAGACCATTCCACTCCTTCATATGGATGTTGTCCTCTCTGAATGCAATTCTACAAGAGCTGTAGCCATCTTACAACACAGACTGAAAGAAGCAACCTCCCAAAGACGGGAGGATAAAACTATAGAAAGAATTAAGATCTTTAATGATCGTCCTTTTGGGGCCATTGATTATACTGTTTTGGAGCCCACACTATCACTTGTATTCCCAGTTATGTGAGATTATACCTTTCTTTATTGTTTTCTACCATTTTGAAATAGGATTTTAATTGAGGCAGGCAAGAGAATACTAACAGACCCATGATATAAAGGGTTTTAAATAATGCCCCTGCCCAGAAGAGATCCTCTCATGATAAAGTCTAGGATTAATAGAAAAGCATCAGTATGAATTTCTTTGTTCCAATTTATACTGTGTTATCAATTCCTAAAATTAATTCCTTATGTGCTTGGAGCCATGTACCATTTCCCTGTAATAACAATAGATATATTCTTCTGAAAGTGAAAGTCTGAATCTTTAGATTCAAACAAATGAAATGTCATCAAATGGAATATTTATCATACACTCTAAAGAATTATACCTAATCCCACTAGTTTCTGATTTTGAAAGTACCAGTCAGAATAAATAAAATGAAATCATGACATTTTATTAATGGATTAGGTCCCCAAAAGTTGTTGAATAAACTGAAGATGGCTATGAAAAAGGAATTTAGATCAATTTCTTGGTATCTAACACTTTCCTGGATGCAGCTGCTGTTGTATCTGTCTGAGCTTGCAGGGCCTCAGGGGAGCCCTGCTGAAAACCTACTTACCAAAATAGAAATTAGGACATTGTAATCATCCTCAGGATCAAAATGTGAAAGAGGCAATAGTTGGAGATTGAAAGTTTATAACCCTTTCTTATTTCAGTTTCTAACAGATCAGTTTGGTGTTTTCTTTTTAATGGATATAATTGTTAATAAAAATTTAAGTATGGCTTCTTATGGAATAGTTTATTACATTTCTTAATTGAGATTTAATGCCCTGTATATAACATTTACTATATGACTACTGTATTAATATGAGACATTATTTGGTATACCATAAGATTTGCATCTTGAGATGTTATATGTTATATCAGAAAATGTTATATGGTATATCATATACATGGTACATCATTGGGAAAAGAAAACTGAGTTCACATTATTTTTCTGTATGCTATGGGGTAAGCTTTTCTGTGAATCTCATTTCTCTCACCTCTAAAGGCAGGATAATGTTTTACTGACCTACTATAGAGCCATTGTAAGCACCACATATGGTACCATAAGAATAAAAATACTTCATAAATTATATAAACAAAACATAAGTTGTATCTCCAGCACAATGCTAGGTTTGGCTGAAACACAAATATTTTATTATTTAATGCATATTGTCTATTTTATAAATAAAGTATTGCATGTGAGATAAGCACAATATAGTAATCAGAAGTGATACAGAGGAGGGAGTAATTAACTCAGCCTGAGGGAATGGTAAAGAATTCATCAAGATCTTAATGCCTGAGCTGAATTTGGAAGGCTACTTTCAAAGACAGCCAATGTTTTCTTCACAGAGAGAACAAGATGCCATGTATAAAAGCACGGAAGTAGCAAAGCACATGCTATGTGCAGAGAACCAGAGTTAAGTCACAGTGGCCAAAATCTAGCAATCCTGAGGGCTGGCTGGTGTGGGGAGAGTGGGGGTCAAGTTTAGCATAGATTGTGGTGAAATGTGAATCCAGACAAGGCCACAGCACATGGCCTATAGATGTGCTTGTAAGGGACTGGGCGTACCCTGTGGGCCTGGTTGTTCTTTGGAGTGACCCAGGAAACACTGGAAATTATTCTTGGCCTTACCTGAGATCTTTTGAATTAGAATCTTGGCTCAGGCATGGAGTGGGTGGTGAGACTTGGAACTATATCTATGCAAGCTGGGTATCAGTCAGGCCTCAGAACCACTGATCTGGATGAGAGGAAACCAATGGGGATTTGGAGCAGGAAAAGGACACGGTCAGATTTGCATTTTAAAAAATCACTCAAGCAGCTGTGTAGGTATCGATGGAAGAGAGTGTATAATCTAGGGCATAGAATTCAGGGCATGGCAGAAGCCTGGAAGCCAGATAACAAGCTTGAGAGAGGCAAAGAAGCCAGCAGGCAGAGCTGAGGCAGCTGTGGAGGTGAGGGAGGGAGAGAGTAGTAGAGAATGAGGTTGGGGGTACAATAGCATTTCAAACAAGGTGGGCTTTTAGGCCAAGAAAAAGAATGTGGCTTTTCCCTGGAAAGAGATGGGGAGCAATTGAAGATCTTAAGATGTATAGTAATGGATCCATTGCTTGGAAATCGATTTTGACCTGATTGTAGGCAGTTTCATTAATGAGTGACACCTTGGGAAACAATTCTTGGCTCCAGGGAAATGTTTCCTTAGCACTTGGAATCCTCAGGTGAGAGCTGGACATCTCACTTAGGACCCCAGCTTCTAAAGCATGTTAATCAATTCAAATTAGAAAAGACAGGGACAGAAGAGGCAGGAAAGTCTGATTTACAATAAAATGTTTTTTTAAAAACTAAATGCAAAGAGCCTGGTATAACAAAAAGGAGAAATTATCTCAGAGCCAAAAAATCAGCCTGTTTTTCACTTAGGGAAAATAAATAATGTCCTATGATCATTGAACTTAGCCAGATTAACACAAAAACCTATCCTGTGAGACAGTGAACTTTGGTTCCAGCAACTACACACCTTGGATTTCTTATAAAACTTCCAGTTTAAAGGATTCAGCATTGTAGCCATGTGCCCAGCTATGTGTCCTATGTTTTTTGGAGAAGTATGGTTACTAATACCAGCTCTGTGTCTAGTTTCACATGGCCTATGTAAGTCATTTAATCCTCTACTATACTGAACAGAATTGGATTTGCAATTAGGTAAATCCATATATTTTTATCCTAGGTTTTTCCACTTGATACTTAAACATGTTGCTTAAACTCTTAGAACCCTAGTTTTCACTTCCGACATCTATTTCTAAGGTTGTTACAAGAATCAAAGACCAGAACAGTATACTTAGCCCCCTATAAAAGCTAGTTGCCTTTTTCCAACTGCCTTTCTTCACTTTCCAGATGGGAGGGATAGGGGAGAAGAGTCCAGTATGTGGCCCCTGAGCTGAGCTGCGATCTTTCCTTCTGGCCTTCATGGCAAACATTCTAATTG